GTAAAACGTAATTTTAATGATAATTTTTTGTATAATGTGTATTAATAATTGTATTTTTATGTTAAATAACTTTGTGCAATTTATTTTTTATACTAAATAATTTTGTGCTTTTTATTTATTGATGATTATAATTTTATTTTGCAATTTTTTAATATTAAAATGGTACCATATGACTAAAAATTTTATACATTCAAACAAGTATATTTCATTCAAACTAAAAATTTACAATAAACGTAAATTATAAAAAAACACAAATAAAAATAACATAATATTAAAATTAATTTATTTGAATTAAATGAATAAAAAATAATATATATAATGTAGAGTAAAATGTAGAGATAAGGGCTGGAGACAAATGTTTCACTCTACTCTAGAGTAGAGTAAAATCTGCGCTAGAGTAGAGATAAAGGCAGGAGATGGTCTTATCAAAACATTCTAAGCTCTTATCCGAGACCTCAATTTCGTTTTTTTTTAACATTAAAAAAGTAAAGGTAAGGATGTTGTATAAAATCTTTTGACTGTCTATTTGGCATGAATGTCTATATGGGCTGTCAAGCCGTAATCTACGTGTATAAATTTTAGGCCCAATAAAAGGTAAGAATTTTTTTGTTAGAATTTCATTATATTAAATCATTTTGAGTTTCTCACTTCAATATTTTTTTGGTAAAACTATTGCACTATAACCTTCTACCCGTTTTTTACCATTTAATGCACTGGACCAAATTTTATTTCCGGCCCTTAGAATTATATTGGCCATATCAATTAAAAAACTTACAGAATTGTACCGGTTTTGGGCTAATATTTTTTTCATTGGGCCAATTTTAAAACTGCTTTTATATGTTTAATGGTACTCGGTTTGGGCCCTTTATATAATTTGTGTCCCTGTTTAGAAAAAAAAAAATGTACCAGTTTTTTGCTAATTTGTATTATGTTGGGGTAAATTTTTAGGCTGCGGAAACAGTAATCACTCCATGGAGTTGTGTAATGGTACACGTTTGGATATTACTAAGCTCATCAGTCATGTCCTCGAATGCATAACTTTAATTGGTGCTAGAGTTGGTGATAAGGTTATCATTCCAAAATTCACTATCATAGCTTCCGATTTGAAAGTACCGTTCAAGTTTCAGCGTTGTATGATTCCTGTTATGGTTTCCTATGCTATGAGACTTTGAATATCAATAAGAGTCAAGGTTCGTCTCTATTGTACATCGGCTTTATACTCAAGAATCCCGTATTCAGTTATGACCAGTTGTACGTTGTTCTTTCGAGAGTCACGAATCAGAATGGTTTGAATATAATGATTTGTGGCGAATGAAATTTTGATGTTAGGAAAATCATAAATTTTATACATAAATAAGTTTTTTTAATAATATTTAGAATTCTTTTCAATTCTAAATATTCCGTTCTTTAAAATGTGATTTTTTTTCCTTTTGTTTATATATTTATATTATTTAATTCTAATAATTCGTTTTCCGTGCAAATGCACGGGATGAATACTAGTATGCTTATAAAATTAGATGAAACTCGTGTGGCTGTTTCCGCACGTGGTTGGATTAATATGCTCTAAAAAAAAACACCAGATCTAGTCGCCTTCCTCCAGTAGGGGCTTCCGGGCCATCGGGGCGGCAACTTCTTCGGGCCGTGCGGCCGGCATTCGAAGGCTTGTTGGATGGGCGGCTTCCTCTTCTCGGGTGAGTTGGCAGATTTGCCCAATTTGGATCTCGTCTCTTTATCGGTCGCCACGAAGGGTTTTGACCGGCGGCTCCTCGGGGTATGAGCAGCGGCATTTTTCCGGTAAGCTTTAGTCCATGGGCTGCGGTTCCGATCATTACTTTGGTAACAAGGGGTGGTCGGGCTGAGATTGGGCCGTTTCGCTTTCCTTCCTTCTCCGGTTTTCTCTGCTTTTGTGCTTGCTGGTTTCATTGGCGGAGTTGAATTGGGGCTGGGTCTTGTGTCCCGGTCTCGGGTCTTCGGGGTTGTGATGGTGGAGCTTGTTTATTGATCTCCGGTCACGGGTGTTGAGGTTGTCCACTCGGGAGGGCCATGGTTTTCAATCTCGAGTCTAGTTAGGCGAATAAGTTTCTGCAGTTTCTGGCTTGCGACTTGGACTGGGTCTTGTCCGTGTGGGTGGTCGGCGTCTAGTTGTGTTCGGTTGGTTATGGCTGCTGGCTGGAAGGGCTTTAGTTTTGTTATGTGTCTTTTATTTTTTGTGTATGTTGTTTTGTGTGTGTTGTCTTGTAGTTTGTGTTTTGTTAGTGTTTGTTTGTTATGTTTTGTTTGTGTGATGTGTTTTTGGTTTGGGCTTTTCGCCTCTGTGCGCCCGAGTGTCAATCTGTGCGCCCGAGTGTCACTTTATTACCCTGTTGTGGGGTCCGACACTTGGGTATTACTCTGTTGGAGTCTTGTAGTTGTGTTAGTTGTTTGTGTTGTTTGTTAGTTTTATTATTCTAGCGTTTGCTAGCCGGTATTCTAAGCGGGCTTCTGAAGACCTGTCCTCCCTTTTTCTTTTTTTTTCGTTCTTTTTTCAGTTGTTGGCTGTTGTGTATTCAGTCGTTGGCTGTTGTATATTCGCACATTTGTGCTTTTCGATTTATAATATTTCTACCATTTCGAAAAAAAAATAAAAATTTATAATTGTAGATGGAGATCTTTCTGACTTTCTCCTGCAATTTTCTTGAAACACTGATTCATAATCTTAATTAGTTCACATATAATATAATAATTTTAATTGATTAATTGATCAATAAATTAAATTGGTAACAAGTTCAATAAACTATTTGCTGTAACATAGCTATAGGAATTCACAAGATATTTATATGTATGCATATATATTTTTGGAAAATGCTTCCCGTTACGGAATCATTCCGTCGGGTTTGTAACCATTAGATCATCATGTAACCGTCGGGAACTCCAACATAATGATTCTGTAACGGGACTGTAGCAACTCCCTATATTATTTCTTGCGATCGACACAAGTAACATTTACGCATACTAAAGAATAGTGCATGCATACCAAAGGGATGTGCAGTTACACAAGTTTTGGTGCGAAATAAGGAAAAAAACAAAGGAAAATCTCCATCGATTGATCAATAGAAAGCTACATATTGTAACTGAATACAAATACATTTTGATACTTGTATAAATTATAGATCATAAGCAAATTAATAAGATTTTTCCTGCTCCTGCTATCCAAGTTCCTGAGTTCAAGCAAATCTTCAGCTACACCTAAAATAATATCAAATACAAACCTGTACAAGCTGTGCCCTAACCTCGTCCAATCGTATCATACTAAACAAGACGAATGACCCCTTTTCTCTAAAAAAAAAAAAA